CCCCCTTGGCTTTGGTTTAAGTAGTACGAAGTTTGAACATTATGATGGACAGCATCGGCCTGAGCACCCGTGATACTGGCCGATATGCTCTCTTCGTACAAACCCTCCTCTTCACGCCATCACTTCAAAACCCTTTCCGACTCTAAACCAGTACCAAGGAATGGTGGGATGGTCTTTCTGGAGGTTGAGCGATGGCCGAAAGGACTCCACGGCACCTCATACACCTATCAGGTCCCAACTGGGTGTGCACGATAGTGCGGGTGTCTAGCTATGTACATTTCACTCGGCTTTAGTTTAGAAACTAGATCCTTCCGCCGACTTTTACAGCTGGCTGCCCGGCTCGCATGTATCTTTCGGAATCGGCAGGCAGCTCGCTGCAGTGGCACACGCCATAATCGTGGGATGGGACCACGCGGGTACCGCGGCGAACTTGATCGGGGATCGGGGCGCTAAGCGCGGCCCGCACGCCTGCCGCCCTGCCCTATACGAACACCGCTGGTTGGCCGTTCGATGCCCCCAAGTAGGGGTTGGCAATCGGCGGGGCCTTGACCCTGACCGGGGCAGCAGTGCTTCTCGGTCTGCTGCCCTATGTGTTTGCGGACACATTTAAACCCTTCCAAACCCTGGGGGATGCTGGCTCTGCCTGGCGTCCGCCGCGCTGCCATCTGGGTGGCAGCCGTTTTCTTAAGCCGATCTATGATCACGAAGGCCACGGGAGAATTCATGCCATTTGCACTGCGAACGGTACTCACGACGCGGTCAATCTCCGGGATCGCCGATCTTCCGTTCCAACACCAAACCATGCGCATATGCAATGGTATCGGCACTCCGCACTGGCATCTCCCCGTTTTTGCCCCGAGCGTGTTTCTTTTTCGAGCCGCAACTGTTCTCCCGGGTCCGGAAGCTAATTAGGAAGAATCTGGAGCGTCCGAGGTCGCTTGGTCGCAAGGCTTTGATGCATGTTCTTGCCTGAATTCCATCAGCACCGGAATGGAAGGAAATCGTGGGACGCGGCCATCCCCGGTTTCTACCAACCCCCTGAATTCCGCACCTACGCTTGGCACGGCCTACAGCACCGTCATATTTGGAAACGCTGTGAAAGCTGTGCCAAGTCAGGTTGGCCTCCTTCTTACTTACTGTTTTTCCGGACAATGTCTTCGACTCAAGTGTCAATCTTCGAATTCTGGCTCCACACTCACCCGTAACCCGGGTCGAATTCTTGCCGGTGATTATCTCGTACTGTGAGACGACTGGATTAGCAGGCGGTGCAGAGGGATTTGTTCCTTGACGGCGAGTCGGCTCTGGATACAATTGCTGATATTCTCGGTGTCCACTCGGATGAGGAGGAGTTGCTATGCCAACTTTTACCAAGGGTGATGTCACAATACGTTACGAGGAGGTTGGGTCCGGATTCCCGCTGCTGCTTACGGCCGACGCGAGCCTGACACCCAGTGGAACAACTGCCCACGCCAGTGTGTTCGAACGCCATGGAAGTGTTCAAGGACGACTTCCGCTGCATCACCATGGATCAACGTAACGCCATTGGCGGGGAGTCCACGGGCCCAGTGCAGGTGGAAGATCCGTGTGATGCTCTGCCGACGCCCAGCTGGACTATGACCATCTCGCTCGGCATAAACGAGTTCATGTTTATGGGATACTGCATCGGCGGTCCCTTCGCCATGAAGCTCATCGAGCGGGCGCCCGAGCGCGTCCTGGCCGCCGTGCTTTGCCAGCCGGTTGGCCACGCATCCAAGACGCCGGACGCCATGTACGACATGGGGCTTGATCCCTGGGGTCCAGATCTGATCGCCCAGAGGCCCGGCTTGACGATGGAGGTCATCGAGCAGTACCTCCACAACCTCTACCGGGTGCAACCGGACTTCATGTACTGCGTCTCGCGGGACTTCGCTCGCGCTTGCCAGACGCCGCTCCTGGTCATGCCCGACGACACGCCGGCGCACTCACTGGAGGCGGCCATGGACCTGATCGAGTTGGCGCCCAAGGTCCAGGCCACCGCGTATCCGTGGAAGAGGATGCTGACCTGAAGGCCAGGACGATAGTCCAGGTGCGCGACTTTCTCCGGGCCCCACCACCTGCCCAGGCCGCTCGTTAAACTCCGCTTGAGGTAAGTAAGGCAATCGACGAGGGCGGAGGCTTGGTCTCCGCCCTTGATCTTCTCCTGCCACTGAGATGAGTGGCGGCCAATCTGTACCGTCTGCCGATGAACCGCGAGGGTATCTCAAATGGTTCGGAAAGGCCGAGAATGTCCACGACGTAAACAATTTTTGCACCGGTGTCGCCGCTGCTGATGTGACCAATCGCCACCTGATCGCCCGCATCATCGTACAGCTGGATCGCTGGGTCGATATACGAACGGAATTGCCCATTGGCCAGGGCCCGAAACAAGTAAGTCGCATCCTCCTCTCCTTCAATTCCGCGGCAAGCCAGCAATGATCGTCATAGTGATGGTAGATTCACTGTTCCCCTCAAAATTCGCCCACTTAGATTGTGGCCCGGTTAGATTGTGGCCCGGATGGGTTTGAGTAGCCGGTGCCGAGTTGCCGCGCTGGCTGAGAGCAGACGAATCGTGCGTCTGATTGATCCTACCGTGTTCATCAACTGGTCACGCTCATATTAAAACTCTGCTGATTGAGTGGAGCGATACCGTGAGAACTGCCAGGTTCTATGCAACCAATTTGCGAAGCGTGTCTTACGCTTTCTTAACAATCGCGAAAGTGGAACAGGTGCATCAGGTCCGCAAAGCGATATTGTGAGATGGGGCCAGAGGGAGATTGAACAACGCCCCTTGCCAGGGAGCTCTTAGGAGCTTCTTAAAGGCTGAGAATATCGCACATCTAGACCTCAAAGGGACTCACGGAAAGGGTGCGAGCACTCCATGAAATTGCTGATGTGCTGTCCTAGACGCCGGTCAATGGGGACGCGTCGTTCTCCCGGTCTTCAGTTCTCCCGAATCACACGCCAGTGCCAGTTGAATCGTGGCGACGCTGGCAATTTAGGCGTCAACTGGTACAATCCCTCAATGATGCAAATACCGGGCTACTGCATTACCCGGAGAACAGTGCTTGCTACCTGCGAATGTTTTTGTTAGAACCTATCAAGCAAGGGGAGTGACCGATGGCCACGCTACAACGAAATAGTGCGTATCGAATGGGTGAGCGGTTCGGCCAGCATCCCGACGACGGTCAATATCCCGGCACTCTGATAATCGTCGAAGGCATTGATGGTTCTGGAAAAAGCAACGCAGATTGACCTGCTGCAAAAATGGCTGAGGAGCCGCAACCTGGTGACCGTGTTCACCGAGTGGAATTCGTCGCCCATAGTCAAGCGGACCACAGCAAGCCAAGGTAACGAGCTGCTCACGCCAATGTCCTTCAGCCTGATACACGCCGCTGATTTCGCCAGCAGGGTGCATGCCCAGATCCTGCCGGCACTGCGAGCGGGTGCGATCGTGCTTGCAGACCGATACGTGTTCACCGCATTTGCCCGAGACGCCACGCGGGGCGTGAACCGTGATTGGGTGCGCCGAATATACTCTTTCGCGGTGCAGCCCAGTTTGGCCTGTACTTCCGGGTCCCGCTGGACGTGTCGATTGAACGGATCAGTGCGGGCGGAGAATATGAAATACTACGAGCCGGCAGGACATGGGCTCTCTCAACACCGCACGAGTCTTCCGTATTTTTCAGCGGCTTCTTGACGCGTATCGTAGAGGACCGAGGAAGTTTGGTCGGATACTCTAGACGCACCGCTACCATACCGGTACCGGTGCAGCATCACAAGTGCGCGCGTATGTGGAACCACTGATTGAGGACGCTATGGAAGTGGGCGGACAGAGCGTACCTGAGGCATTGGGCCACGCGGGGCTGAGCGGGCGTTACATAACCGACCCGCCGCGCGAAGGCTGACCGAGCAGGATATCCTCCGTATGGAAAGGAGCCGAGACTAAAGGCGGCAATTCCATCGCTGCATCAGAGCCGGAGCGGTTATATGAAAAATTTGACCTTCTACGGTCACACGCCACCCCGTATGGGAGAAGAACCGGTACCTGGCCGTCTCATTGTGGTGGAGGGAACCGATGGCGTGGGCCGTTCAACCCAGATAGCAATGCTGCAGGAGTGGTTGGAAGCGGAAGGGTATGCCGTTCTGGTGACGGGATTCCGCCGCTCGGAACTGGCTGCATCGGGTATCGATCGAGCCATGCGCGGCAACACACTGGACGCCCTGACTCTGAACCTGTTCTACGCAACCGACTTCTGGAACCGCCTGGAAAAGAACATCGTGCCTGCACTCCGCACTGGTATGGTGGCCTTGGTCGACCGCTACATCTTTTCCATCATTGCCAGGGCCAGAGTGCGCGGCGTCCCGGCCGGATGGCTGAACGATGTCTTCGAGGTCGCGGTGGTTCCGGACCGCGTGCTCTACCTTGACGTAGACGTGGAACACCTTTTGCCGCGGGTTCTATCGGTCCGGCAGTTGGACCACTGGGAATCAGGTGAGGATTTCCTGCGCGGCCCTGACCTCTACGACAACTTTATCCGGTATCAGAGTTCCCTGATAGAGGAATTCCGCAGCCTGGCAAAGCAGCACAATTTCGTGACCGTCGATGCCCGGGGCACAGTGGGTCAGGTGTTTCAGACCCTCCAGAAAGAGGTAAGGGAGGCGCTTCAGGAAATGGGGGCGGAATAACTCCCGACGGGTTCCATCTCTGGATTTACGAAGGGGCGGCCTCCAGCGAAACGCGGAGGCCGCCTTGCATTGAGACTTCGTCTGTGTTCTCTACTGGGGTGCCGCTCAAGCGGCAAGGATACCCGTTGCGCCTCCATTCCTGTTCGGAACCGAGACCGGGCAGGTCGATCAGGTCCTGCTTCGATACCGCCCATCCGCACAAGACAGGCAAACAGCCTGTGGAGTAGCATGACCGCGCCAGCCCCATATGCCAGAGGGGTGCTTCATTCATTACGAGGGATTACGAGGATTCGCAAATGACCCGTCAACCAACCTCGTCGCCGGGACGTAGCGACACTGAAGGGATTCCAGAATCGGTCGTGACCGATTTATGGCCCACGCCTCCCGTGGCAGAGAAGAGGACGTACAGCTTATCCCATCACGGCGTGACGATTGAGGACCCATGGCACTGGCTTCGCGACCCGAATTACCCAACGGTGGATGACACTGACATCCTGGCGTATCTGACGGCCGAAAATGAATATTTTCAGGCCTCTATGTCGCCCCACAAGCAACTGGTCGACACGATTTTCGAGGAAATCAAGTCACGGCAGCAGCCCGACCTGTCCAGCGTGCCCTGGAGGAGAGGGGACTGGTACTACCAGTGGAGCTTCCAAGAGGGGAGCCAGTACCGCGTCTGGCAGCGATGGCCAGCTGACGTTCCCGAAGCCAGAGAAGGGCCAACCGCCGACGCAAATACGATTCTTGACGAACCTGACCTCGCGAAGGACCGTGAATATTTTCGTCTAGGCTCCATTTCAGTTAGCAACGACGGATCGCTTCTCGCCTTTAGCACCGACACCGATGGCTCGGAGAGGTTCCGGATGCTGGTCAAGGACCTGGAAACCGGAGAGATGCGGCAGGATGAGATCGCCGGCACCACAGGAAGCGCCGTTTGGGCGGCCGACGACGCATCGTTTTTCTACACGCTGGTCGACGAGAACTGGCGGCCCTGGCAAGTGCGACGGCACGTGGTGGGCCAGCCAGCGACCGAAAGACGCAGTTGTGTACGAGGAGACCGATTCCGGCTTTTTCGTCGGGTTATCTAATACGACATCCCGGCAATACATACTCATTGGGGCTGGCGACCATGTGACCTCGGAGGTGCGGTTGATTTTGGCAGCGGCTCCCGAGTCCGCTCCCCTGCTTGTAACCCCGCGGAGGACCGGCCACGAGTACTCCGTAGACCACCAGGGCGACCGCTTCGTCATCCGTACCAATGACACACACAAGAACATGCGGCTCGCAACGGCGCCCGGTAACGATCCCAGCGAGGAGTGCTGGCAACCATTGGTGGACGCCTCAGACGAACACTACATCAGGGCCTTCAAGTCCTTCAGCAGCTTTATTGCCGTTGAAGAGCGCATTGATGGGCTGGACCACGTACGCCTGATCGGTAAGTCGGGTGAGTCCATCTACGTGCAGTTCCCCGAGTCGGCCTACACCGTTGGCCTAGACACCAACCCGGAATTCCAGACGGACAACTTGCGTCTCGAGTACTCGTCGATGGTGACTCCTACAACAGTGTTCGACTATCAGGTCGAATCTGCCGAACTAGAGATTAGAGGTTCGGAAAGTGCAACGGATCCCCAGCGGCTACGATGCCTCGGAGTACGTGACGGAGCGCGCGCTGGCCACTGCCCGCGATGGCGCTCAAGTACCTGTTTCCATCGTCCGCCGGGTAGACACGGCTGTCGACGGCACAGCTCATCTGTACCTCTACGGCTACGGCGCTTATGGCCTCTCTATCCGCTATTCCGCCGTCTTTTTCCACCACGCGGCTTTCGCTGCTCGACCGGGGGTTCATCTTCGCCATTGCGCACATCCGCGGCGGAGACGACCTGGGATACCACTGGTACGAAGCCGGCAAGCTGGACAGGCGAACCAACACTTTCAACGACTTCGTGGACGCGGCCAGATACCTCGTGCAGGAAGGATATGGCTCGGAGGGACACATCGCAATCGCCGGGGGTAGCGCCGGCGGCCAGCTCATGGGGGCTGTCGTTAACCAGGCCCCGGAACTGTGGGGCGCAGTCGCCGCCCACGTGCCGTTCGTCGACGCGCTCAACACGATGCTTGACGACACCCTGCCGCTCACACCCATCGAGTGGCCCGAGTGGGGCAACCCCATTGAGGACAAGGACGCCTTTGACTGCATTCGGTCCTATTCCCCGTATGACCAATTGATGCCCCGCGACTATCCTCCGATATTGGTGACTGCGGGATTGAACGATCCCAGGGTGACCTACTGGGAGCCCGCCAAGTACGTGGCGAAGATCCGCACGCTAGCTCAAGACGGACAACAACCCGCTGCTGCTGAAAACGAACATGGGCGCAGGCCACGGCGGCAGATCCGGCAGGTACGACCGGCTGTACGAGGTGGCGGAGGAGTACGCTTTCATGCTGACCAGCATGGGGCTGTCGCAATAACACCCCTCGAATTTCGAGGTCGCCAATTTCAGGGCTCATCCACCCATGGATGTTGTATTGGGATCTTTGTATTGGCGCGGCGGATGTTACAAATTCCATAGTTAATCGTCAGCGCTCGAAATGAAGGAGATTGAAAATGCCTCGATTGGAAGGGAAAGTTGCCGTGATCACTGGCGCTACCGGAGGCATCGGAAGCGCGGCTGCCAGGCTGTTCGCCGGGGAGGGCGCGAAGGTGGCCCTGGTAGATCTCGACGAGACCGCACTGTCTGCAGTGGCGCGGTCGATTGGAGACGACAAGGCCAGCTATACCGTCGCCGACGTCACTCAGCCGGATCAGACGCAGGTCTACGTCAATGCGGCAGTGAGTCGTCTGGGCTGTATCCGACGGGGCCGAAAAAGAGCAAAGATCCTGCTGGCCAACGCAGGGATCGAGGGAACCCTGTCCCCCATTACAGATTATCTTAATTGGAATATCCCGTCGACATGTTCGACCGGGTTATGGCGGTCAATGTTCGTGGGGTCTGGCTGGGAATCAAGTACGTGGTTCCTGTGATGCGCGAGCGAGGTGGAGGCAGTATCGTCATCACTTCGTCAACCGCAGGCATCAGCGGCTCGCCCGAGATGTCGGCATACAATACCAGCAAGCACGCGGTTATCGGACTGATGCGAACTGCGGCGCTTGAGGGCGCACCGGATAGAATCCGGGTCAACACCGTGAACCCGTCACCCATCGAGACTCGAATGATGCGCTCCATAGAGGAGATGAGGGTGGCGGCGTTCGACGACTCGACCGTAACCGTCGACGTGGCCAAACAGTCGTTCGCGGACCGCATTCCACTGCAGCGGTACGAAACCCGAGGAAGTGGCAAGAATGATGCTGTTCCTCTCCAGCGACGACAGCAGTTTCTGCACCGGGGGCGTCTACATGGTGGACGGCGGGAGGTCGGCAGGCAGCCGCTAGTCACCTGCCTGGTGCGGCAAAATCACTACGTGTGGCCCATTTGTTGTAGACCTGGAGCATTCCGCAGGCGTGGGAGGAGAAATCATGGCAACGTCAGTGGACAATCGGATCAAGGTTGGCTCCCTGGAACAACTCAAGGAACGAGGATGCATGGTGGTTACTGGCGCAGGGCATGCCATCGCCGTATTCCACCACGACGGTAGGACGTACGCGGTCGACAATCGCTGCCCCCACATGGGATTCCCGCTGGACCGCGGTAGTGTCAGCGATGGCATCCTGACCTGTCACTGGCACCACGCACGCTTCGATCTCTCCAGCGGCGGCACCTTCAACCCCTTCGCCGATGATGTACGAGGCTTCCCTGTAGAAGTGATCGACGGCGAAGTGTGGATCGATCCCGACCCTGCGCCGCGAGACGAAGGGCAGCACTGGAGGCGCAGATTGGAGGACGGCCTTGAACACAACATCCGATTGGTCATCGCCAAATCGGTGCTGGGCCTGCAGGCCGCCGCTACCGATTACCGCGAGCCGCTGGGGATAGGCGCCCGTTTCGGGACGACCTACTCGGCCAATGGCTGGGAGGCTGCCATGAGCATCCTGACCTGCACAGCAAACATCCTGCCCCACCTGCATGACGATGACCGGCCCAGGCCAATCTACCAGGGACTCCGGCACGTGGCCCGGGAGTGCGCGGGCAAGGCCCCCCGTTTCGCCGTCGAACCATTGCCCACTGGCGAGACGCGCCCTGAAGTCTTTGCCCGGTGGTTTCGGACCTTTATCGATGTGCGGGACGATGAAGGGGCCGAGCGGTGCTTGATCACCGCGATAGAACTTGGCTGCTCCAAGCAGGACATCGCCGGAATGGTGTTCGCTGCGGCAACCGACCCATCTATCTCGACGCCGGACACGTTGTCGATTTCTCCAATAAAGCTTTTGAACTGCTGGATCACCTGGGCTGGGAAATGGCCGGTCAAGTTTTGCCCAGCCTCGCGCACGGTATGGCCCGGGCTCGACGCAGCCAGGAACTGAGCCAGTGGCGTCAGCCGATCGACCTCGCCTCGATGGTATGGCAGGCAAGGGCAGACTTGCCAGACTTGCTGGATGGGGGTCGTTCTCGCTACGGGGAATGGCATGAAGCAGACTGCTCTGGCCTCCCGGATTTTGGGAGACTCTCCAGACGAAATAGTCAGCGCCATCAAGGAGGCTGTAGCGGCTGGCGCCACGTTCGAGCAACTTGGCGCTGCCGTCGCCCACGCCGCTTTCTTGCGGATGGCCCATTTCCACCTGTCAAACGAGTTCCGCGACTGGGACACGGTGCACAACACCCTGACAGCTGCCAACGCCCTGCACCAGGCGTTGAGGCGCACTCCGACCCCCGAACTGCTGCGCGGTGTGTTCGATGTTGCAATCAGCATCTATCTGGATCGGTTCCTCAATATGCCGCCACAACGCATCCCGGACGCTGTTCCCAGCGCGGTGCCGAAGGCAGAGCAGCTTGATCTACTCCTTGAGATGGTGAACGTGCGCCAGCAGGTTGAGGAGTCAGCGCATGCGTTTCCGGATACAAAATGGCTGCAGACGGTTCACCCGAAGATCTGCTGGCGACCCTGGGACGAATGATGCTGCGAGAAGACGCGGATTTCCACTCATTCCAGATTGTCGACGCCGCGTTCAAGCAATTCGAATCGCGCCGAGGGACCGACTCCGGCCGGCACGTCATGATTGGGTTGTCCCGGTTCCTTGCGGCCCACTCACCCACGCCCAGGGCTGAAGGGCAGACCTTCCAGATAGCCCTCCGCCTGCAGCGGGGCGAGGAAATTTACCAGTGAGGTCATTCTGGGTGTTCACTGCATTTGGGCGGGCGCCCGCGAATTCCCGTTGCCGGTCTGTGGAGAGGGTGGCCTGAATTGCGAGTGCTAGTGATCGGAGGAAGCGGTTTCATCGGCCGCTACGTGGCGAGGCGCCTTGGCGAGACCCAGGGGCACCAAGTATTCGGCACTTTCTGGTCACGGGCTCCCTTTCCAGGCAGCGCATTGTGGTACTGGGTCGATTTGACCGACAGGATAGGGCTGGAACGGGTATTTCACGAGGCCCGCCCCGATGTGGTCGTGCACCTTGCGGCCATGGCCGACGTGGGGGCGTGTGAAAGAGATCCCGCTAAGGCGACAGCCGTCAACGTAGACGCCAACAAAGAGCATCCTTCCTCCCCTCCTCTTCCGCCGCCCTTATCTCTCTAACCCACTTCTCCCTTTCTCCCCCACCCAACTGTCTCTGCTCCACCCCACCTCCCCTATTTCCCAACATAACACACTCAAATACCCTAACTGTATCCCTCAATCGAGTGCACTGGTCGACTGTTTTTTTTTCCTCGCTGAGTATGTTATTCGAATGTTAGGCCATGATCGTCTTCTATCGGGAGGATGATACCCCAAACCCCACGACACATTACGGGCGAACCAAATGGGAAGCCGAGCAGTTGGTGGCGTCCCTTGCGTCTCGATGGAGTGTAGTCCGCACCAGTATCGTATACGGGTGGCCTGCGGAAGGCCGGCGCAACTTCGTTCCGTGGCTGATCGGTCGCCTTCGCACCGGTCAATCGTATGTTGCTTCTACGGAGGTGCTGCGAACGCCGGTTTACGTAGAGCACCTCGTCGATGGAATTTCCTCCTTGGTCGAGACGGACCACCGAGGCATTCATCATGTGGCAGACAGGGACTGGGTCAGCATGTACGATTTTGTGCGTTGCAGATCGAGCGCGGTGTCGCGCGTTGGGCACCGGAGTTGGGGTCGGCCGAGAGATTGTGCCAAAGGCCAAGACACTCCAACCCCTGACCGGCTCGGCTTGGATTGCACAAGTACCATTCGGGCGCTGAACCTGGCCCAACCGGCACTCAGTGACGGGATTGCGGCCATGCTGGCGAACCCGCCGAGCAAGTGCCGGGAATAGCGGAGAAAACTGTTCAGCTATAGCTGCCGGCGCCGCTCATAGGCCGCGACATGCAAACGCTGGGCGACGAACACTTGGGGTACTTGTCCTCACATTTATCCCGATACGCTCCAGCTCCAAGAATGCCCCCGTTGCTGCACTTTGCTCAGGCCGCCGCCGACAGAAAGTCGTCAATGCGCCCGTGCCCCGGTCGTGAAGTCGTGGAGCAAGTCCCAAGACGCCTGAAGTCCCGCCATAGTGGTGAGAGAGGGATACCAGGCCGCGCGCGGCGCACCTTGCTTCCTGGAGCTCATCAAGAGTGGGATGTGTCTGGCTGCCGTGGGTGAACAGGGGCAGCACCAGGCCGGGGATTCGCCGAATTGCCTCCACGTTGTCTTCCCAAGAGGACACGGCCGGGCAGACCACGTCTGGATTGGCTTGGCTTTTATATGCTAGGCAGCGCTCCATCACACCTTCGAAAGTGGCACCCGGCACCCCGGCGGAATCGCACCTGGCAACGATTACAAAGTCCGGGTCGAACTCCATTTTCGCGTCCATTGCGGCCCTCAGCTTGGCCACCACTCCTCGATGGAACGCAGCGGCAGAGCAGCGGACCCGGTCATGAGGCGGAAATCTGTCTGGTCCTCGAGGTGAGCCCCGGCAATCCCGGCGCGGATGTACTCCTTCACCGTATCGTAGACTGGATGGCGTCGCCGTAGCCGGTATCCATGTCGCAGAACACTGGGATGTCCACTGTGTTCACGATTCGCCTGGCGTTTTCCACCATATCCCGCATGCTGGTTCCGCCCTCGGTCATGCCCATCAGCTGCGCCGAGGTGTTTCCGCCAGACATATAGAAGGCCTCGAACCCCGCGACCTCCGCCATCCTCGCCCCCATGGCGTTCATCCCGCCGGCCAGTACGAAGATTTCGGGACGCTCGAAGAGTTCCTTGAGCCTCGTGGTCATGCGCGTTTGTCCAGGCATGATTTCTCTCCTCTCCGTATTCTCAGACTGGTTGACCTGGCACTCCCTGGTATTCGAATGATTGTCCTGGAACACTAAACGGGGAGTACAGGCTCAGGCCCACCTTCCGGCAGGTCGATTTCGAATGAGTTGGCGTTGTACGCGAGGGTCGTAGTAGTAGCCCATCATAGTTGTGAGTTCGATCAGCCATCTCGGGCCGAAGTGTTCGACCGCAGCGCGGTAGGTACCCGGACTCACCCGGTGGTTGTTGAACATCTCGTTAGCGTAAGCGACCAGGGCCGCCTCGTCAGCGGGCAGGTCCGGTAGTGGCTTGCGTTCCCGAAGCGCATCGACCATCTCATCACTCAGACCCTGCTGCCGTCCCCGCGCCGCGTGAGCGTACCAGATGTACTGGCAGTCCATGTGGCGAGCCGTCAGGAGCATCGCCAGCTCCTGCAACTTGTGGGCAGACCCGTGACATCGCGGAAAAAACCTACGAACTGGTTGGCTCGCCTGCGCATCTCGGGGCTGTAGATCATTACCGAACCGGGTCCCGACTCGACCACCCCGCCACTGTCAGCCGTTTCGGCGTCGAACGCGTCCAGAAACGCTTCGGGGGCCTGGTTCCTGGTCAATACTGGAAGCCGTGCCATGTCGCACCCCTCGTTTCATCTGATTGCGAGATCTCTTCGGACGCCGCCATTATAGACCCGGCGGGTGACGATCCTGCGATTCGTGAATTAGCGTCGATCTATTGGAATTCACAATAAGACGAGCGCCGTAATTTGACAGCGCCCGTTTATTGACCAACCATTCGGCATTATAGATGCTGGCAAGGCAACTTCAGGGTCCCAGCCAGTGCCGGCAGGCCTGTGTGCTACCAGGACTTGATGACCGGCAGCACCTCTTCGGCAAAGAGCTTGATGCTCCGCTCCGCAACGTCGTATGGAATTCCACCGAACCGAAAGGCGACGTTCCACTCGAATTCACCGAGCAGATCCCGACGTTCCTCAAGCCCACGCAGGATCTTTTCGGGTGTGCCCCAGCTTGCCGCCTTCATAAAGCCCTCGACCGCTCCTTCCAGACCTGCCGAGCGCGCGATTTCAGCCTTCTGCTGATAGGCGTTGTAGCCCTTCACCTGGCTGAAGTGGTCGCTGAGGAACTCGTAGTGATGGAAGTTGCTCTCGACGAACTTGCCCTGATACTGCCGCGCCTCTTCCTCAGTCTGCTCCAGGTCGGTCCCGCATACGACGAACTCGCTGAGCATCAGGGTTGGCGGCTCGGTGCCGTGGAATTCGCGGTGCAGAGCCCGGCCTCGCTCAATCCCCGGCATTCGCATCTCCCAGGGACGGTCGGCGAACATGACGATGTGCGCTCCCAGCTTGGCCGCCGAAAGAACTGACTCGTCGCTGGCGGCGACAGCGTAAATGCGACCGTCGAAGGAATGCTGCGGCCGCGGCCGTATCTCAATGCGGGGCTGCTTGTAATGGGGCCCGTCGCCCTCGATGAAACCTGTCTTGAGGGCCTCCACGATCATGGGCGCCGCCTCGTCGAAGCGCTCCCGCGATTCGTCCATGCTGATGCCAAAGGCCTCGAATTCGCGCCGCGCCAGACCTCGTCCGAAACCCAACCGAAGCCGCCCACCGCTCAGCATGTCGAGAACCGCCGCGTTTTCCGCCACCCGCAAGGGGTTGTGCCAGGGCAGAATCACGGCGGCGGTACCAACGTCGATGTTGGGATGCTTCGCGGCCAGGTGGGTCATCAGCTGGATATTATCAGGCACGAAGGAATAGTCGTTGAAGTGGTGCTCTGCCGACCAAAGGCTGTCGAATCCCGAGTCAGCGGCGATTTCGGCCAGGCGCAGCTCTTCCTCCCACATCTGGCCGTCCGAGCCTTCCTCCCAGCCGTAGCTGGAGAAGACCATCATCATTCCGACATCCATTTTGGTACTCCTTTCGATTTGTTCGTGTTGACCGCCCCACCGGGCCTGGCGTTAGAAGCTGGGCTTGGTGGGGAAGGGGGTCAACTGGAGCTCGTGGGTCCAGCAGGACTTGTCCTGCGTGTGCAGGTAATAGAAAGCCTCTGCGATCTTTTCGTGATTTATCAGCAAATCAGGATTCTGCTGGGCATGGGGCAGGAACCGTGTGCCCGGTGAGTCGATCATACCGTCGATCACAACGTTGGCAACATGGACGCCGTGCTCGGAATACTCTTCGGTCAGCGCCTGCGACAGGGTCCGCATCAGCACCCGTGGATAATAGAGCGACTGTCCTGTGTACCGCTTCTTGCCCCGCAACGAAAAGGCGTTGTTGGAGATCAGGATGGTGCCCTGACCCCTCTCCCGCATGGAGGGAAGCACCTCTGTGGCTACCAGGAATGGCCCGCTGCTGGAGATGTGCTGTGCCGTCTCGAACATTTCGAACGGAATGTGCTCCAGCAGTTCCTGTTCTGGCGGAAGGTCGCGTCCCTCGAGATATCCCGCGTTGTAGACCAGCACGTCGGGGTCGCCGGCCTCCTCCCGGATCTTGGCGAACGCGTCCGATATGGAATCCCGGGACGCGAGGTCCAGCTCGACGATCATGCCATCGTCGCCCCTTTCCCGACTCGGACGGCGCAACGAGCCGCGTGAAGAGTGCGAGGCAGGGACAGTGAGGGTGGTCAGGACCGTGTAGAAGCCCTCACTTGCAAACTTAAGGGAGATGGCTCCCCCTACTCCCCAGCGCACTCCCACGGGCAATTCGCTGTCGTCGATGTCCCCTCCGTGGATCAGATGAGTGTTTGCGCCCAGTCAGGACTGCACTTGATGTCGCCACCACGATCACACCGCGACACTGGATTTCCTGCTTTCACTAGTGTTCATGTTCGGAGTCCTATCGTAAAAGGCGCACGCCCGGCAGCCGAGAAAAGTCCAACCTGCACGGTGCGCGACCGCTCTGTCCCCAAGGGGGCACCCAGCGGGTAGCCACACACACGCGACATGCGACGAGACCAGTCATACGTGTTCACCACGGCAGCGCAAGGCTGGGCAGGCCTGAATGTACTGTACTACAAACCCTCGAGTTGGTGGTAATTTTGGCAGAAGAACAGTTTGTGGCGAACCACGCGTCCCGCTTGGGCAGGTGACTTGTCTGGTTAGGAACGATTGTGGGTAACCTCAACCTGGTGTTCCGACGGTTCAGGGAGTTTGTGGGATCGAGTTTTGTGCGGTACGCAGGCGTAGAAGAAATGGCGCGACCTGAAGGGCTGGCTCGCTCAACGAGAGCCTGCTGTCTGGCAAGATTGCGCTTCCAACTCGTTCGGTTCTCTTGAAAATGTCGGATCCGCGGGTAAGTAACCGGTTGTTCAACTCGCTCAGTAAGCACCGCGAGGCTCTACTACGGCGCCTACGCTGCACTACTAACCTACGCGGGGGCCGGTCCCCCTCTGTGGCACCGTCATCTGCTATTATCTCAGCGGGAACGAAATTCATTTTTGTTGTATAGCAATATCCACGTATTCCTGCAATTTTGACCCGGATCAAGCGAATTCTGGATTACAACGCCGTGCTCATCCGCATTCAAAGTCACAGACACCGGCTGGAAGGATGGGCCGAGCCCGCAGCGGAGGGACGCAGCATGAGCCAGCGTGATCTACCCTTTCTGACAGTGGCAGAACTTTCGCGGCTGATTGAGTCCCGCGAGGTTTCCCCTGTTGAAGTGACGGAGGCTTATCTCGATCGCATTGACGAGTTGGACTTCAAGTTCAACGCATTCCTGACTGTTTCCCGACGAGAGGCCTTGAATGCTGCCCGCGACGCCGAGCAGGCCATCGCCCGCGGCGAGTATCGCGGCCCGATGCATGGTATACCAGTGGCGGTTAAGGACCAGTTCTGGACCAAGGGGATCCGCACGACAGGCGCTACCCGAATCCTTGCGGATTTCGTGCCGGATGAGGATGCGACCATCATCTCGAACCTGAAACGGGCGGGCGCCGTCCTGTTGGGCAAGACCAACATGACAGAGTTTGCCATGGGAGCGGGATTCGAGAGGTTCAGCCCGCCCAGGAACCCATGGCACCTTGACCGCCGCACAGGCGGTTCCAGCGGCGGTTCCGGGGCTGCCACCGCCGCCTTCCTCTGCGCAACGTCCCTGGGGGAGGACACCGGCGGATCGATAAGGTTCCCGGCGACCTGGTGCGGTCTCGTCGGCCACCGTCCCACCTGGGGACTGGTCAGCCGTTACGGCGTGATGACCGGGGTGTGGTCCATGGACACCGCTGGGCCGATATCCCGGACCGTCGAAGACGCCGCCATCACCCTGACCGCTATCGCAGGCCACGACGAGCGTGACCCGTACACGTCGTCCCAGCCCGTGCCTGATTTCCGGGCGGGATTGAATGGCAACCTCCAGGGCATTCGTGTTGGGGTGATCACGGAGCAGATGGACGACGAAAGCGTCGCCGTTGACACCCGCGACGCGGTGCTCAAAGCTCTCGGCGTCCTGGGGGAACTGGGTGCTACTGTGGAGCGCGTCTCGATTCCGCTGACTGCCCACGGAGCAATACTGTCCCAGGTACCACTGGTGGTTGAACCAGCGCTGAACATGAGGGAATGGGTGAGGGACCGGCTGCAGGATTATGGTCACAACAATCGCATCGGGCTGCTGACCGGCAGCATATTCCCGGCCCAGGCCTACTACAAGGCCCAGAAGCTAAGAACGATGTTCCGAAACCAGGTGCACGAGGCGCCTGGAACGATACGACGTGCTGGTCACTCCCACATCGAGCGTGGCCGCCCAGCCGATCGTCGAGGACCCGATAATAACGAGTAAAGAGCAGGCGACGCCCCTGCAGTACCTGCAGACCCGGACATTCAACTTGGCCAGCGCTCCGGCGGTCTCCATTCCCTGCGGGTTCAGCGACGAGGGACTGCCCATCGGCCTCCAGATCGGGGGCCGCCCTGGGGCCGACCAGACTGTTCTGAACGTGGCCTACGCCTACGAGCAGGCCACCGCGTGGCACAACCAAAGGCCGTCCCACGCCTGACCCAGCGGAGGTCGATATCGTTCAAACCCTCTTGGCCTGTGCTCTAAAAACACCCTGCGCTCTAAAAGACCTGGAAGTGGGCCTCCGTGGGCACGCAGTCGACGCCGTTGATGGGGACCATGTCTTGCGGACACGCTGAGAACACCACGACGCAGTCCAACTCGGCGCGCAGCGTTACGTGGTCTCCCGGCCTGGAAACTGGCGGCTCGAAAGTTACCGAGCCATCCGGCGCCACCGGGATGTCCATGAAGAGGTTCCAGGGACTGGGTGTCTCCGGTGGCGTCAGGCCCAACTCCGCCAGTGCCGCTGCCAGGTTGTCGGTACAGTTGTCGTGGTACTCCTCGCAGCCCAGCAACTCGTAGCGATACCGGTCACAGGCCGCCAGCAGCGTGTCGTGGACCCGCGCGGAGGTGTCCGCTGCAACAGGGTCAGGATTGGCGCCTCAGGTTGGTTGACCATGGATGCCCCTTGACTAGCGGGCTAAGGCGGGGCCCCAGTGCCTGATGTCCCGAGTGCTCCATGGACAGTTGACTCTCTGGTCAGGTCGTCGCGCCGGAAGTGCCCCGACAGGTGGTCACCGACACCTGACTGACGTGGGTGTTGATGATTCTGACGCTCTGGCCTCTGGACACCAGGGTCGCCTTGCCACCACGGGCAGGGATGGTAATCGGCGATGCTGCCGACATATTGATTCCTCTCAATCAGTTCTGACCTTCCCTAGTTAAGCAAGCACACTCCAACATCATGGCGCGGGGCGGCGAAGCACTTGTAGAATACCCACGATGTTCGCAGCACCGTTGCTTTGCTAGATCTCACTCACGTGGTGTCGCCGCCCAAGAGTTCCGGAGACGGTGCAATCTTTCCCAACAAGTAGCGCAAAGGAGAGCACCCACCATGACTAGCCAGAATGCCGGAACAAAGACGATTGGCGCCGCTCTCAATTCGCGGCCATTGAAGCCTCCCGGCAGGCATTGATCGACCTCTCGCGGCGAGCCATGCCCATACGGAAGCTGCAAACAACAAAAATCAACCCAGGAAATTTTGTTTTACCTCGTCCGCGGCACTGCAGGTTTCCTGGCAGGCATGACCTACGCCGGTGGTGAGAGAGACTGAGGCACGGCGGCGTGGACGGAAACGGCATATCCGGCACTATCCCGGCGGCGGCGGCGCGTGTCCGCGACGATGCTGTGCTGGCGGATACGTCCGACGACGCGTTGCCAGAGATTGGGCCACGGCTGCGGACACAATCTCATAGCGATGCGTGCTATGGCGCCACGCATGGGCCTCCAGGCCAACGCCCGGGACCTGCCGGGCCGGGTGGTGGTCATCGGAACGCCAGCGGAGGAGGGAGGCGGTGGCAAGATACGGCTGCTCGAGCCGGGGGTATTCGACGGTGTCGACGCAACCATTTCGTCCCATCCCTTTTCCAACCGAACGATAGTACCCGCCGTGGCCCCCAAGGGAGAGAGCTGGAGCCTGGCCATGGTCGGCTACCGATACATGTACCACGGCAAGGCCGCGCACGCCGCAGCGGCGCCCGAGGCAGGCATTAACGCGCTGAACGCGGTAATCCACCTGTTCACCGGTATCGATGCCCTGCGCCAGCACCTGCGAGACGACGTACGCATCCACGGCGTCATCACCGACGGGGGCACGGCTCCCAACGTGGTGCCGCAGTTCGCCGCCGCCAACTTCATGCTCCGTTCCAGGGACGGCAGATACTTGAGCGACGAGGTGGTGGGCAAGGTGAGGCAGGTGGCGGAAGGGGCGGCGTCTATGACTGGCGCACGCCTCGAGGTCAAGGAATTCTATCCGTTCTATGAGAACGTGAAGCCCAATGTGACCCTGGCCCAGGCAGTGGCAGCCAACGCCCAGTCGCTGGGAATCAGCTGGATGAGCCGGTGCCGGGGCGCCCGGGCAGTGGGGCTTCGACCGACTTCGGAAACGTCAGCCAGGCCATGCCGGCTTTCGAGCTGCGTTATGCCGTCAGCGAGACCCCCGTGGCCTCCCATACCAGCGACATGCGAGAGACAGCCGTTACCGATTTCGCTCTCGGCAACGCCCTGCTGGTGGCCAAGACTCTGAGCCTGACGGCCAGCGACCTGCTGCGGGACGCCACGCTCGTTGAGTGCCGCCAAGGCCGAGTACGCCGACCGCAGCAGCTAGCGGCTCCCGCCGTCAGGAGACGTGTGGGAGGACCTCCTCGGTGAACCGTGCCATCTGGCGCGTCTGGTCCGGGGAGGCGAACCTGACAATGAAGTAGTCGGCCCCACTTTCCTTGTATGCCGCTATGGTGTCGATGCACTTCTGGACGGGGCCGAACACGCACAGCAAGTTCTTGCTGATAACGTCGTAGGGGATGCTGTAGTACGCCTGCATGTATTGGTCGCCCTCTGACAGGGCGGCGCCGGTATCATCGTTCAGGTTCACGGAGACATACAGGCAGCGCCGGATACCGGCTGGATCGCGCCCCATTTCTCCGGCACAATGTTCGATCCGCTCCCAACACTGTTTGAACAGTTCCACCGACGGAACGTTGGTGATCCAGGCATCGCCCAGCTCGGCGACCCTTGCGAGGCCTCGGCGCACCCAGTTGCTGGAAATCCAGAGGGGAATGGAGGGCTGGACGGGCCGGGGCTCCAGCTCCACGTCCTGGAGCGGGTAGTACTCCCCGTCGCTGCTGACCGGCTCTCCCGTCCACAGCGCGCGCATGACGCGGATGCTTTCCTCCATCCGGGAGGCGCGCTCCGCTATCGGCACGCCGACGGCGGCGTGTTCGGCGACGAACATCTGGTTGTTGCCTCGGCCCGCACCGAGGCCCAGGATGGTGCGCCCGCCGGAGATGTTGTCTATCGTGGCCGCGGCATGGGCCAGATGGACGGGATGGCGCAGGGCGTTGAGCAGCACGGCGGTGCCTACCTTGACCCGGCTGGTGCGAGCGGCGACGGCGGCCATGGCTGTCAGCGGCTCCATGCGCGGCTTGGAGGTGATGCTGTCGCCGACCCAGACGGAGTCGTAGCCGGCCCGCTCGGCGGTCTCAGCCATCTGCCAAGTCTGCTCCACCCTCGGGCCGCCGCTCCCCGCGTATACCAGCACCCCCCTTGTGGGCAGCAGGACTCCGAAATTGTCTCCAAGCGCCATTGCGTCCACCTCTCCGGTGTTTACATTTTGCCCCGCATTGAGTGCCGACAGCCCATTTAATTCTCCCTCCCCCGGAGGGAGAGGGAACTCTTGGAAGACCCTCGCGCCGGGGCTTTAGTCCTCGACCTCTACGATCATCTCGATCTCTATCGGCATGCCGCCGGGCAGAGTGGCCATGCCAACTGCGGACCTGGCGTGGCGGCCCCGGTCTCCGTAAAGGTTGATAAGCAGGTCCGATGCGCCGTTGGCCACCCTAGGGGTGTCGCCGAAGTCGGGCGTGGAGTTGACCATGGCCAGCAGCTTGACGATCCGCTTCAGCTTGTCCAGATCGCCTATTTCACCCTTCAGATTGGTGAGCAGGTTGAGCATGGTCTGGCGGGCGCAGTCGTAGCCCTGTTCGACAGTTACTTCCCCGCCAAGCTTGCCCGTGTGCAGCAACCCGCCTCCCGGCAGGCCCGGGCCGGTGCCCGAGAGGTAGACGAGGTTCCCCGTGCGTACTGCGGGGATAATATTCCCCGCCCCCGGTTGCCGCGGCGGCGGCAACTCGTAGCCCAGTTCATTCAGCTTGTTCTCTATCTCCGGCATGTAACCGCTCCTTCCAATCTAGGTGTGCAAGTTGAAACCAAAAACACTCTGCATCGCCGCCAATTGTAATCGGACTGTGGCACTTGGCAACCCGCCAGTAATTGACATCCTGGAGGCCTGCCCAAGGCTTCCCGTGAATCGTTGGCCTTGACGTTAGCGCCACGTACCATTTGGCACTGGATGGACATCACCAGGGCGAGGGTCAGCATGCACACTATATTGGCGCGCGGCGATGACTGGCTCCAGGCCCACTGTGCTTGGCGAGTTCAGTGCAGCCTGAATCACACCTATCCAAGCAGACAGCTCATATGCTTATGGCAATCTTCGTCGAAGCATTCGTGCCCGACGCTTTTTAATAGGCCATTTTGGAAGGAATTGGAGTCTCCGGAGTGCCCCACTGTCCCGGCGGCCACGTCGTGGCGCCGTTGGGCCTGAAAGTCATGACGCTCGAAAGAGGCCAAGCACCGATCGTTATGGCATAGGTCCTTTTTGCCTAATCTTCCGCGACCGTCAGGAACATCGGCAGCACCACATCCGGGTCGTCAACCGCGGGGATGAAAGTCACTTGGACCGGCATGTCTATGTGGATGTCCTCAGGGGCGACGTGAAGCACGTTGCTGCAAATCCGCAGCCCCTCCTGCTCCTCCAATTCGATCATGCAGAGGTTATAGGGCACCTGTTCCTTCTCAGCGATCGCCGGGTGAACCGGGTGGCGGGCTATTACATAGGAGTAGACGAAGCCCCGCCCGCTGACCCTGGTCCAAATGTAGGCCAGGGACGAGCATTCCGGGCACATTGGCATGGGCAGGTGTCGAAACAACCCGCAATCCGAGCACTGTTGGATGCAAAGCTCGCCGTTCCGGGATCCCTCCCAGAATCCCAGCTCATAGTCCGGCAGGCGCTCCAGGTCAGGCAGGGGCACGCCCTCCAGCGGCGCGGTCATCGGACGCGACCTCCCGGCTTGGTCTCTCTCCTGCGTCATTGTCGCTCCTTGCTGCCCAAGCCTTCCAGCGGCTATCCCCGGCGAATTATCACAGCCCCGCTGAGCTGGGCCGTGCTGCTGCACGAGAGGACCCGGTTGATGGTCTTATGGGGCGGCTGCGCGGTCGAGAGGCCCCGGATAAGCCGTACCGATTCCTGGACGTGGGTTAGACCGTGAATATAAGCCTCGGAGTGATTGCCGCCGTGGGTATTGGTCGGCAGCATGCCGTCAAACCGTATGTTCTGGCCCCCGTCTACGAAGTCCTTCGCCTCGCCAAAGGGCACGATCCATAGGTCTCCAGATTGATCAGGCAGAAGGGCGTGAAGTGGTCGTAGAACATGAAGGCGTCCATGTCCTTCGCTTCCAAACGGGCACGGCCCAGAGGTCTCTCGCGGTGTTCTCCGATTCGGCAACGGCGAGGTCAGGCCGGTAGATGATGCCGTCGTTCCGCGGGCCGGAGCCTTGGGCCGCCGCCTCAACCAGGGTCAAGGTGTTTGAGTGGCGCAGCTCCCTGGCGCGCTCCGGGGTGGTCATCACGATGGCAGCGGCGCCGTCGTTCCTCCTGGCAGAAGTCGAGGACGTGCAGCGGGTCCACCACCATGCGGGAATTCTGGTGGTCGTCGATGGTGATGGGGTCTTTACGCAGGGCGCGGGGGTTCCTGGAGGCATGCTCCCGTAGGGTCACCGCGACCCAACCGAAGTGGCGGCTCGTGGCCCCGTATTTGTGCATGTAGCGCCGGACGAACATGCCGAAATGATGCGCCGGAGCCATCATGCCCCAAGGAGCGGCAAAACTCTGTGGCCCCCCGGCGATTCGCTCTGGTCCCCTGGCCCGGCCCAGCCGCATCCCGGAACGTAGGTTGGCGGCCCGGAAGCACACCACGTAGTTGGCATAACCGGCGGCAATGGCGGCGGCGGCATGGCCCACAGTGGCGTTGCCCGCGCCCCCGCCGTATGAGACGGATTCCCAGTGGCGCAGGTTCTTGATGCCCAGCGACTGTGTCACCAGGGTTTCATGGTTTGACTCCATGTCATACCGCACCAGGCCGTCGATATCCTGGGGTGCGATACCGGCATCGTCGCAGGCAGCTTTGATTGCCTCGGAGGCAAGCTGTATTTCACTACGGCCCGAGTTCCAGGAAAACTCCGTTTCTCCTATGCCGACTATCGCGGCCTTGTCCCTGATGCCGTTAGTGTCTGCGGGAATTATGGTCTGCACCACGGCCTGCTACTCCTCCTCCCAGTCCACTACTTTCCGCTGTTGAAAGTCGTGAATTTGCTCGTCAGTATACCCCAGCTCCCTCAGGATGGGGCCGCGTGTGTTCGCCCTTGAGCGGGCCAGGGCCAGTTCGGCCCGAGGTCTCCGAGAAGTCGACCACGGGAGAGTACCGCCAGAATTCTCCAAACCTCGGCGCCTCCACCTGGGTAAGAAGCCCGTTCTCGCGCACATGGGGGTCCTCGTTGAAAAAGAAATACATTCCCCGTTCCTCGGCCTTTACGCAGGCCACGTCGGCGGCGGTTAGCAGTTCTTCCCAGTGCATTGGTTCCTCGGCCGCGAACATTTCGGCCAGCTTATCGATCAGGGCGTCATCGTGCTTCTCCCGCGCCTCGCTGGTGGCAAACCGTGGGTCATCCCGAAGGTCCGGCCGGTCGATGGTCCGGCACAGGGCCTGCCACTCATCGTCGAAGGGACAGGCGAGAAAGACCCACCCGGTTTTTGCCCGGTACAGACGGTACAGGGCGTGCAGCCCGTAACCGTCCCGGTCCGGCAGAGGCCGGGGCTGCTTGCCCTCGTGCCGGTAGAAGTCGTCGATGTTGAGGTAGGCGTTGGCGGCAATCATGGTGGACTCGACGTATTGCGCCATGCCCGTGCGCTCCCGGGCGTAGAGGCCCAGCACCAGGCCCACTGCGTTGACCATTGCCGTACTGTGGTCGGCGGTGCCATCGTTTGCCCGCTTGAGCTGCTTGGCTACGGCGGCGATTCCTCGATTGACAGCGATTGGTCCAGATGAGGAAAGCCATCCCTGCCCATCTGCGCCACGCCACCCCCGGAGACGGCCCCGGCAATCGGGGCCATAGACGGTCGGTGAGAGTAGGGTCCGGTCGAGCCGTAGCCGCCGGCATACACGTAGACCAACTTGGGGTTGATCTTCGACAACTGCTCGTAGCCGATGCCGGTGCGTTCCGGAGCGCCAGGACGCATGCTGTGCAACAGCAGGTCCGCCTTGGCCGCCAGCTTGCTCATGATTTCCTGTCCCTCCTCGGTCTTGAGGTCTAGGCAGATTCCCTCAGAGCCGGCCATGGTTCGGTGCGCCGAAAAGGGCAGACCCTGCCTGCCCCAGTCGCCGCCGGGGGCCTCGATGCGGATCACTCTGGCGCCCAACTCCGCCACAAGGGCGCAGCCAAGGGGGCCATTGATCACCGTCCCTAGGTCCAGCAGCGTTATTCCCTCCAAAGGATGTTTGGGCATCAATGCCTTTGCGCCGTTGGTATGCCTTTTCGTGTTGCTCCTGAGGCGGGCAAGGACCTCTTCGGTGTGCTGTCCCAATGCCGGGGCCGGTCCCTGCGTGCTGCCCGGTGTAGCCTCCATATTCACCATGGGGCCGAGCTGACTTGTCCCTCCCACACCCGGAACATCCACCTCCTGCACGTTGCCGTTGTGTACGATCTGGGGATGGTCCAAGGCCTGTTCAGAGGTGAGGTATGGCTCGGCCGCCGCGTTGCCCGCCTCGCTGAGGAATATCGCCATCCACTCGTCCAGGGTCTTTTCCTGGACCTTTTCCAGCATGATTCGCTCCAGCGCATCAACGGCCTTCCGATCAAGGAAGGGGGCGGTCTCGAAGCGCGGGTCCTCGTAAATGAAGTCCATGTCCAGCGAGTGCATCATCGACCGGAACAGCCGCTCCACGACGTTCCCCAGCTGGATCCACTGGCCGTCCTTGGTGCGCGCGGGCAGGTAACCCGTGGGGTTGCCACGTCCAGTGCCCACCGATGGGTCGGGCGGGTACTCGTCAGGGCGGTTCTCGACCATCTGGCCGTGGACCCACGAGACGTGGTCGTAGGTGGTCACGGCCTTCAGCATACTGGTCTCCACCCGCTGGCCCCGGCCGGTGCGTTCCCGCACATAAAGAGCGGCCGTGATGCCGCGTATCAGTGCCGTAGCTGCGGCATGGCACACGCCTTGGGTGACAACGTGGTTGGGACCTTCCCGGGGGTTCTGCCCGGCGAACATCATCGTCCGTCCGGTCTTGGCCGCTACCACACCGTCGTAACCCTTGTAGTGCGCGTAGGGCCCCGAAGTCCCCAAACCCGGTCAGGGTGGCGTAGACCAGCTCGGGATGACCGTCCCGGAGACTGTCGTAGTCAATACCCAGCCTTTGGGTGACACTGGGCCGGAAGCTTTCCACGACAACATCGGCGAGTTGCGCCAGCCCGCGGGCGTGATCCCGACCTTCCGGGGTCTTCAGGTCGAGAACGATGCTTTTCTTGCCGCGGTTCCACTGGATGGACCCCGGCGCGTTCCTGAATTTCTCCCCACCCGGCGGCTCAACTTTGATGACCTCAGCGCCGAAGTCGGACATCACCATAGTGGCGACACCGCCGGCACGGCCGCTCGTGAAGTCGAGGACGGTGATTCCATCAAAGACCTGTGCCATGAGGCCCCCTCGTCGTAAGCAAATATTCCGTCTGTATTAAATCGATGGATATGTGAACCTGGTTCTTATACGCGTGTCCACGTCGAGTGCAAACCACTCCCGCATTGTAGCCCAACATTTTTGTATTTCGGCGTAAGTGGCAAACTTGTCCACAGACCCGGCCAAGGAAACCGGCCCCCGAAAAGCGGTGGACAGCGCTCTTGGCTGATCTGAACCATTGCGAATTGCACCACGACAACTGTCCCGGCAGGTAACCTCCCCCATCCAAAATTGCTGGAACCCGAGCTTTGGAGGACCTCCGGCTGGTGGAAACGCCGCACTTGAAAACGTCGCTCATTCCGCTGAACATGCGTGGGCTGAGGGCGAAAGTTAACGACGGCACCTCGGTCATACTCATGGGGAATCAGGATGGCATCGAGGTGCTACGTGCCCTGCTGGGAACTCGCGTAACTGCGGCGGAAGGAGACGCAACTGATGGTCATTCCCGAGAAACCTCGAAGCGTAGCCGTAATTGGCGCCGGTATCCTGGGCGCAGCCATCGCCTGGCGTCTGGCCCTGCGCGGGGTGCACGTCGTTCTCGTCGACAAGGGCCAGCCTGGGCACGGGGCGTCGAGCCACAGCTTCGCATGGATCAATGCCGGCGCGAAAGAACCCCTCGAATACCACAATCTGAACCGCCGCTCCCTGGAGCTGTGGACACGTTTCGCCGCCGAGATCAGCGATCCAGACGATCTGGACAGCTCAGCCCTTCGCTTGGGCGGCAAGGTGTCGTGGGAATCCGACCCGGTGGCCGCCGAGGGTCTGGTGGCCCGGGTTCGACAGCTCCAGTCCTGGGGCTACCCGACCCGATTGATCAGCGAAAGAGAACTGAAGTCTCTCGAACCCTCGCTGGACGTTGGGCCGGTGTCCGCCGCCGAGTACAGTGCCAACGAAGGCCAGGTGGAGCCGCAGATGGTGGTCGATGCTTGCCTTCGCCGCCTGAAAGAGATGGGTAGTGAACTTTATGTCGATACGGAAGTCTACGGATTTGAGAACCATGATGATGGCCGGATCCACACCCTGGAAACCACCTCGGGATCCGGAGACGTGGATGCGGTGGTCATCGCAGCCGGCACCGGAACCACCCACCTGGCTGCTCTGGCCGGGGTCAACGTGCCCCAGGCGGAAAGTCCGGGGTTGTGATACGCACCAACCCGAGCCACCCCCTGCTCCAGAACGTGCCGGTGGTATACGCGCCGGCCCTGGGCGACGGCCGCCGGGAGATTCATCTGCGGCAGTGCGCCGACGGTCGTCTGATGATCGGGGAGGGCGACCAGAGAAGCCTGGCCGAAGACGACACCCAGGCCCACGCTGACGACCTGCTGGACCGGGCCCGCCGCTATCTGCCTGGACTCGACGGAGCGCAGGCCGTTCCGGTGCCGGTGGGCTGGCGCCCCATGCCCCTGGACGGCTACCCGGTGATGGGCTTCGCGTCCGAGGCGCCCAACCTGTACGTGGCCCTCACCCACAGCGGCGTCACCCTCGCTCCTGCTCTAAGCCAGTTGGCCGCCCAGGAAATCTGCGACGGGGTGCCGGCAAACGCGGTGCTGGGGTCTTATCGTCCGCAACGGTTCGCCGGTCTGACGCCCGAGGAATGCGGCGGCGGTCACTCACCCCCGTGCCGCCAAAATCCACTGAAACCGCTGAACTCAGGGCGAACGGTAGCTGGCCGAGCTTCTTTGCTTCACCCTGTGCAGGGCGCGAATAAGTCGGGAGGGCCTGCGCTATCCTGCCTGTTCTTTGCCCGTTAAGCCGGAGGGTTGGACTTGAACCACTCGGTTATTCGGAACCTGTGGCCGCCCACACTCCCTGGCGTCGCACCATGTGTCCCAGGGCCTGGTCCAGGTAGCGGATCCGGAAGTTGGCCGATGAGCCAGGGGTGCAGATTGAACGCCATGAGCAGGCCCGACTCCCTGGATCCTTCGTACAGCCCATCGAAGCTCTCTTCCAGCAGGCGGGCGTAGCGGTCGACGGGGAGCTTGCGGTCCCAGAGCGCGTTGATGTCGTCCAGTTCCAGCATCAGGGGCAGGGCGCACAATTCCCCTTGGGGGGTCGTCATGCGGTAGGGTTGTTCATCGTTTACCCGTACCCAGTCGCAGACGTAGCTGACTCCGGCGGCTGCCAGGATGCCCGGAGTGCGTTCCGATTCACCGTGCTCCGGCCCCAACCAGCCCTGGGGCGGCGCGCCGGTGGCCCGGCGGAGCGCCTCGACGCTGGAGTGCACGTACTCCTCTTCGTCCTCCTCCGTCATGCGCCCCGTGATCATCCGGCTGACCGATATGCCCGTGGCCGATGATTCGGCGCCGCGCTGCCGGCAGTGCTCGACCAGGTAGGGATTGGCCTCCGCCGTCATCGCGTCCATGGCCACGGTGGCCGGGATGCCATGTTTCTCCAGCACGTCCAGCACCCGGAAGATGCCGACCCTGTGGCCGTACTCCCGGTGAGAGACACGCGCGTAGTCGGGGAAGGGCCTGTCGGCGATCCCCCCGGGCAACGAAACGGTAAAGCTGTCCGGAGGAGCTTCCCACTCCATCTTCTCCAGGGTGACCACCACGCAGAGCGCGATGCGGGCGCCGGAGGGCCAGTGGAGCGCGCCCCGCCGGTTGATGGGCGACCAGTCATAGTGCTCGTGGTCCATTCCGGGGCGGCGTTCAGCCGGCATATAGTCCCTCTCTACGAACTGGTGAATACCCCTGACGCGGGCTGGCATCTATTGGGGGCGGTATTGGGCCGAGTGGGCGACGACCTCGTCATAGTTGTTGGCGATGTAGTGCTCGGCGATTTCGTCGGCCGTTGTTTGCCAGACGCCTTCGTGGGACATGATGTAGCCGAGAATCTCGTCGAGGTACTTGGCCCGGTGGGGCTGGCCGATCAGTACGATGCAGGGCGATGCACATCACGCGGCCGCTCTCGGCTCCCTCGGCGTAGAGCTGGTCGAAAACTGGTCCTTGCAGATGCGGGCGAAATACTCGCCCTCGAAGTTGCTGCGGAACACCGGCACGTCGTTCAGCTCGAAGCTGTAGGGCACCGACACGAGCTTGCCCGACTTCACCCGGATGGGCACCGGCTGGTCGTCGTGCACCCAGTCGGTGTGATAGATCAGCCCGGCCTCGGCCATCAGGTCGGGAGTGCGGTCGGTGCCCGAAACGGCCGGGCCCAGCATCCCCTTCAGCGGCTTGCCGGTATGGCGGCGCAGGGTCTCGATGTTGTCGCGGTAGAACTCCCGCTCCTCTCCTCCGACAGGGCATTGAGGTAGCGGGTGTTGTAGATGCCGTGGCTCATGAAGTCGTAGTTGCGCTCGATCATGGCCTCGGCGATCTCCGGGTAGAGTGCTCCAGCACCGCCAGGTTCAGCGACACGCAGCACCTGATGTTGTGCTTGTCCAGCACCTCGGTCATGCGCCAGAGCCGACGCGGTTGCCGTAGTCGCGGTAGGAATACTGCTGCACGTCGGGGATGGGCACCCGGGCACATGGGTTCGTACGCCGTCGAAGTCCGGCAGGTACTCGTAGTGCTCGACGTTGGGGCAATCCACAGCGCCACCCGGGCGCCATTGGGCCACCTGATGGGGGGCCGCTCGATGATCGGGCAGTAATCGACTCTGGACGGGGCTTCGACCACCTCGGCAGCGCCTCCCATTCGAATGAGGTGGGGTCACCCCGGCCATTCTAACCGCAAACCCCAGGGATTTGCACAGGCTCCGGCCCCGATCAAGTCGGGGGCCCGCTCTGCGCTGGCGTGACGGGGTTCCGGCATTCGGGCAGAAAGCTGGGGAATTTCCAATTCTCCGGTCAATTGTGGCCAAACTACCAAAGGTGGGATCAACGGACGGCGGATAGCATGGCCGTCAGGCGGTGGCTTGGACCACGGAAATGGAACATTAAGTATCGTAATGCAAATATAATGTGTGGATACCGCAGCGAGAAAGACGCCGTCAAGGAGTTGAAGTGTGCAGTGGGTGGGCCTGCGCCTTTGCATTCTCCCTCTTCCTTTGGGAGAGCGATTGGCCACACACCCCCTCAGGCATTGTTGCGAAAGCGGCCGTGGAAAGCATCTATGAAGGAGAGCGTCCGAGGAGTTCCAGGACAGGCTAAGTCGATCTCCACTCAGTTCAGGCAGACCCATTGCTGCAGTCGATTCGATACGAATTCGACCAACCGGAATGCTTCGTATTAAAATGATAACCCTTTCATTTCCCAGACCGATCACCAAGAGAGTTTCAGTTTGCCTTATCCACACCGTGTCCTGACTGCCGTGGCTGTTCTCACCCTTGCCGCTCTCATTTTCGTTGGGTGCGCAAGCGAGCCATCGCCACCCTCTCAGACACCCGCCATCGTCCCGCAGGCCACCGCTACCCCCGACCCAACGCCGGAGCCTACAGCCACGAAAGCTCCGGAACCCACAGTCGCTCCTGCGTCGAAGCTGGAACCTACCCCTGAGCCAACACCGGAGCCTACAGCGGAGCCGGCACCTGAAGCCACGCCGAGCCACGCCTACACGAGCCCACGCCCGAAGCCACGGCCGAACCTACTCCTGAGCCGGATCCGACGGCGGAGGCCACGCCGGAGCCCAGTCCGCCAATCGCCGGGGAACGTCCTCACAGCTACACCTACCACGGAATTACGGTTGAAGACCCTTGGCACTGGCTGGAGGACGAGGACTACCCGACGGTCGACGACGAAGATGTAATCGCCTACCTGGAGGCGGAAAACGACTATTTCGACGCTAAAATGGCGCCCTACCAGGACCTGATTGACACCATCTACGCGGAGATAGAGGGACGCCAACCAGCCGAACTGGCCAGCGTGCCCCGGAAGGGCGGGGACTGGTATTACCAGTCGAGGTACGGTGAGGGAAGCCAGTACCGCGAGTGGCTGCGCTGGCCAGCATCCGACCCTGACGCGCGTGAAGGTCCTACCGACAACGTCGAGGTGTTCCTGGACGAGCCAGCGCTGGCGGAAGGCCTGGAATACTTCCGGCTGGGGTCCCTCTCTGTGAGCAACGACGGCTCCAAGGTGGCTTACAGCACCGACACCAACGGCACGGAAAGGTACATCCTGGTGGTCAAGGACCTCGAGACCGGTGAGTTGCTTCCGGAGGAGATTGAGGAAACGAGAGGAGGGGCCATCTGGTCCACCGACGACTCCTCCTTCTTCTATACCTTCCTGGATGAAACCGGCCATCCATTCCAGGTGCGACGGCACATCATGGGCGGCCCGGTGGAGGACGACACTGTGGTCTACGAGGAGACCGACGCAGGATTCTTCGTATGGGTAACAGGGACCAACTCCGAGGAATACGTCATCATCGGAGCCGGCGACCATGTTACCTCTGAATACCGGCTGATCGACGCAGACGACCCGGCAGCCGAACCGGTTCTGGTGGCACCCCGGAGACCGGGCCACGACTACTCGATTGACCACCAGCGACCGCTTTGTCATAATGACCAACGACAACCACCAGAACTACCGTATGGCGATCGCCCCTGAGGACGACCCCACCGAGGAGGCGTGGGAAACCCTGCTGCAGGGGACGGAGTCCCTGTACATCCAGTACTTTCACGTGACGGAGGATTACGTCGCGGTGGAGGAACGGATCGACGGCCTGGACCAGGTGCGCATCATCAACCGGGCAGGAGAATCAACACACGTCGAATTTCCCGAGGAAGCCTACACCGCCTTACATCCAATTCGACCCCGAGTACGACGAAAACACCCTTCGTCTCGCCTATACGTCCATGACCACGCCGTGGACGGACTTCGACTACCACATCGACACGAAAGAGCTGGAATCGCGAAAGGTGCAGGAGATTCCCAGCGGGTACGACTCCTCGGAGTTCGTTACCAACAGGGAACTGGCCCCCGCGAGGGATGGAGTGATGGTGCCGGTGTCCATCGTCCGTCACAAGGACACCCCGGTCGACGGCTCGGCGCCGCTGTACATCTACGCATATGGCGCCTACGGCAGCGCCGTTCCCCGTCTACTCTCCTGACCGCCCGCTTGTCAATCACTACTGCTGAGAGGAACCGGGGTTCGTCCATCGCATCGCCCACGTCCGGGGCGGCGACGACCTGGGGTTCCACTGGTACGAGGCCGCCAAGCTCTTTGAACGCACCAACACCTTCAACGACTTCGTCGATGTGGCCCGCCACCTCGTGGACAGGCTCGGAGCTGAGGGTCCGCTCGCCATTCCCGTGCGCGGAGCGCGGTGCGGGACACTAATGGGCGCGGTGGTGAACCAGGCCCCTGAGCTCTGGGGCGCGATGGTCACCCAGGTCCCATTCGTAGATGTGCTCAACACTATGCTCAATGCCGACCTGCCGCTGACTCCGCCGAATGGCCGGAGTGGGGCAATCCCATCGAGGATCAGGCCGCCTTCGAGTACATTCGTTCCTATGCGCCCTATGATCAGCTGGAGGCGGGAGAGTACCCGCCGATAATGGTAACCGCTGGACTGAACGACCCGCGGGTTACTTACTGGGAACCGGCCAAGTACGTTGCCAAGCTGAGGTCAGTCAAGACGGACGACAACCTGCTGCTGCTCAAGACCGACATGGGCTCCGGGCACGGCGGCAGGTCGGGGCGAACCGCCCGGTGGTACGAAATAGCCGAAGAGTATGCCTTCTTGCTGGCGACCATGGGGTTGGCGAAGTAACAGCGCGCCGGGGCAGCACGGTTCCCTGGCGCGGCGGAATCCGGCCGGTCGGTATCGAGGCCCCTGCGCTACGACCGGAGTTCAATCTTTGTAGCCGCGATTCTGCCTTTCGACGAATGGCCCAGGTTGTTCGTCCCGGAACATCGCACCCGCCCGAGGCCTGACTGCCTCGCACATATGCATTGGACAAGAGCGAAGGCCGTTTTACCCAGCCTGTCCTGGTCTTCTCCAGAAAAAGGACTGACGTTGTTGGCACAACGTCGTTTGAGCATCCAACCCTATGGACCGACTGTGGGGAAAGTCAGAGCCCCATAAAAACCGGTCCACTCCCACATGGGATATGGCGGTCTCGGCCGCGTTATCGTCGACGAAGCCCTGGAATACACGGGTCCTCACATAATCGCTGGCGTTCAGGTTGAGCTTGGCCAGTACAGACGGGGGCGATTCATCGGTCTGGTCCAGCCTGGACCTGGGGCCAGGGGATCCAGGACACCTCAAAAACCGTCAATTCGCGGCAACAGCATGTCAGGGTTGGCAGTCGGTTCAAGATGCCTCCACAGATGAAGCCGGTAGGGGGACGGTATGTATTTCGATGAACAAGTCCACCCATAGCCTTGGATTGGCCGAAGTCTCCTCTCGAGTTTGCCCCGTTCGGGCAAGCAAGAGGGCGTCTATGACCCTGCCGGTCAGGATATGCAGGGTTAAGTAGACTCCGGCTTCCTCGTCCCCTGCCCGGAATCTGTCGTAGATGGGATCCCGATACGGCGGGCAGCCCTTGGGGCCTGCCAGTCGACCATGGGACCCTTGATGCCCCTGCCCAGGGTCCGGTTCGACTCCTCGACAGCCCAATCAACGTCGTGCATCGGGATTACGCCAATGCCTACGGACCGTCGGGGATCGTAGCCGAACTCAGCCATCCAATAGCACGCCTTACAATAAAGTCCCGTCCAGTCGCCACTATGCATCAAGTCGCAGTGATGAACTCCAGGCACTCCACAAGGCCGGACAGTACCGTAACCAGCCCCACCTATCTGCCTCCTGAGTCTTGGGCCGCTCACATCTCAAACGAATCCTCCGACACTGGTCAAGGGAGACTGCATACGGAAGTGTCAAAGGCCCAAGGCCGCCGGGTCAGGAAGGCTCCGCAGATTCCCCGGTGTAAAACGCTGTCGTGCGCCTCGTTGCCGCCACAGCAACCTCGGGGTCAGTTCCGGCCACGACCGCCGCCTGCCCCCATCGCTCGCTGCTGCCTGTAATAATCGCCTTGCCGTCCGGCCAAGTGGCGAATGCGGCTTCGTCCGGCATCGGCTCGCCCGGCTGCGAGATGTGGAGTGCGAGTCCCATGAGACCCAGCTCCCAGCCGACCCCGACCGCCCCCGGACCAAGCGTCCCAGTGTTCCGCGAGAGATGGCGCGTATGCTGATGTAATACGTGAACGGGCCTGTTCTCCCCTCTTCCGAACGCGTACTCCCCCCAACTGGTGCCACGTCCCTGGTCCCCGCCGAACTCCCACGTGAGCGCAAAGCGGGATTGCCGTTCGCACTCAGTGATCACCGACCCACCGGGCATGCTTCCATCTGAGCGGGCCCCGATTTTTCGAGTTCACAACCGCTGGCCGCCGTGAACCCACATGCCAAGAGAAGAAAAAATGCGGCACATCTTGGTCACACGGGAAAAAACAACAAGCGCCCACAATTCTCTGGCCGGCCGAATCTCATAGCTCCGAGAAAGGGTGACCGCGCCTGCAGGTTGTCCGTCCCGCTCCTGGGACGACACGGAGCGCTCTACCGCGCGGAGATGCCCCGCGACGTCGAAATTCATGGTTTCTCTTTGCCTTTCCAATATGGACACCCTCCGCGCAGAATCAGCGGCAACGGCCAGAATAGCATTGGATTACGATTACAACCCGTCCGACTTCGCCGCCACGACAATCGTGGCCGTGCTCGTGCCGCAGGACGGCCCAAAGCAAAGAAAAAATCCTCCGGCACAAAATACCGACGGATGATCGGGGCAGTCCAAAAGTTGAAGGACGAGAGGGGGTGGACGAGCTGGCTGGCGAACTGTGGGGAAAGGACGGATTAGGCAATTGGCCCGAAACATGCGCCACGGGCCAATTGCCGGTCAGAGAAAAAAGGCAAACAATTGCTCCCGCACTGTTCGCCGCCACCAAGTCATGCTTACGGACGGTGATGCTCTGTCCGGTGCCTCGTCCGGTTTCACGAACGTGACTCGTTGTTGCAGGAAGGTCTGAGCAGGGCCGCTAGGGACGGAATTTGGCCATGCACTTGTTGGAGTTGAATACATGGGTCTCAACGTAGTCGAGGACCTCCGGTTTTCGGTCCAACTCGGCCATGGCTCCCAGCAGACAGGCCAGTTCAGAAGCTCCTGCTGGCCTGCAGCTTCGATCTGAGGGGTGGAGACCCGGCCCCAGGCGTCGTAATCGGCTGACTGGAGGGCCTCGAACATAGCGCGGTCGGATTCAATGTCCGGCCAGAGGAAATGGTTCTTCTCAGTCAGGAAAGCAGGTGAGACCAGCTCGACGACGCCACCAGTGCCACGCGCCAGGGGCTCTCCCGCAGCGCCCGGGCCGTCGCCGCCCCCACCTGCATGCAGCGCTTGATGGAAGGACCCGGCGGGTCCGGCTCCAAAACCTTGCCGTTTTCCTTGTGGGGCAGGATGCCGCCCCGATTGCTGATGACCTTTCTCTTTCTCCCGTAAGCAGTTGACGCGCAGGGCACCACCGTATGTCCGAAACCCCTTCCGGTCGTAGTCCAAAAACAGCAGGGTGTTCAGATCGATGGGCAACCCCGATCGGGTGTGGGTGCAGCGGCTTGTAGGCATAGGCCATGTCCACGCCCTGCTCCTATGCAATGACGGGTAGCAAAGCCACCGGGCGTGCCCCCTGGGGGTGGCCCTGATACTTGAACGCCTTGTCGGCGGGCTCGTCCCAGGCGTTGCGCTTGCGGGAAGCAAATCCTTTCTGGAACGGGGTGGACTCCGAATCCTCGTAGGCCAGGATGCAGAAGGGCGGGATGATGGTCTCTCTGAAATTCTCGTACTGGTCGTCGCCAAATATCAGGACGAAGTCAGGAGCAAATGCCTGAATTTCGTCGTTGATTACCCGGAAGCGTCTTAACCTAAAAGTCGCTCAGGCCGGTGAAGGGCGGCCGAGGCGGCTCCCTCATCCTCCCCGTACTCCACGCGCATGGCTTCCGGCCAGTTGGCCGGATTCTTCATGTGCTCCGGGACCCGCTCGTCCCGCGCCAGCGTGATGTTTATGGGGAACGCCTTCTCTTCGTCGGATACCAGCATCGGCGGGTAGTGCGTTACGCCCGCACCCAGTATTTCAGCCATCTTGTCCTCCCGTTACTGAAAGGGTTATGCGTCTCCTGGAGACCAGATCCAGTATCTGGATATGGCGCCGGCATCCACCCGCAGGTCGAATCCGGTAATCATTTCAGCATCGTCGGATGCCAGAAAGACCGCAGCCTTGCCGTAATGCGACGGGCTGGGCAGCTTGAGCAGCGGTGCGCCCCGGCTGGCGTCCGGCAGCAGTCCCGAAGCGCGTTGTCCCAGTCGGGGCCCCGGCCAGTCCTCCACACGCCCACCTGGCGGCCCTCTCCAGTCCTTCCGACTGACCGGTGGCCGTCGGTGTAAGGCTGTTGACCCGGATGCCATACCGGGCCAGTTCCATGGCCACCGACCGGGTGAAGTTAATCAGTCCTGCCTTGGCTGTGCCGTATCCCACGTTGCCGGGCTCCCCCTGGTGTCCAGCAGTGGAAATGATGTTGATTATGTTGCCTTTTCGCTCCTGCTGGATCATCAAGTGGGCCACGTGCTTGGTGAACAGAAACGCACCGGTCAGAATGATGTCGGTCTGGCGGCGCCACTCATCAACCGGCATATTCAACACGCCCTTGAAGTTGAACTGGGCCGCGCCGTTCACCAGGATGTCCACACCCCCAAACCGCTCCGTGGCCCTCGAGACGGCGGCAAGCACCTGGTCTTCGTCGGTAACGTCGCAGGCCACGCCGATGGCGTCACGCCCTTCGGTAACAATGGCCGCGGCGCATTTCTCGGCGTACTCCTCGCGGACATCGACGCAAACCAGGTTGGCGCCCTCTCGGGCCAACTCTTCGGCGATGCCGCCCATGATGTTGGGACTTGTCCCCGTCACCAGCGCTGTTTTACCTTCGAGTTTCAAACATCGGCCTCTATCACTCTGGAGCATCTGAGAATTGATTTGCCCGGGCGTTCAGAAGATGATGCTGACCGCACCGTGCCAGGAGAGGGCTTCCAGATCCAATACTGCGCGGCGGTAGGCTATTTTCAAATCCCCGCCGTCCCGCCGCAGGATGTAGTCGATGCTGCCGACATAGGGTGCTCCCTCGCCGTTCCGGAATCGATAGACCATTACGTTTGCGGAAACAGCGAGTTCGCCATCGTTGGTTTCCTCAACCCGCACGTTGGAAACAAACCGGCGGGTGCGCGACCACGGATACTCGCGGTGAGCATGACGGCTGTTCAGCCGCACCGCTCGGGCGCGCAAACGGGTGATGTCGTCATCAATGAACACCAGGTCGCGCTGGGGGTCCCCTTCCGGCAAGTCGGTGGTGGGGACAATATACCGGGCGTCTTCGGTAAACAGGCCTACCCAGTCGTCAAGGCGCCAATCATCGAGAAGCGCAGCTTCCCTGAAAAGGAAGTCCTCTACCCGCTCGCGCAGCGTGGGTTGTCAGCGGTCGTCATCTTCACCCACATCCTAACCTTCCCCATCAAGGGGAAAGGGGCATCTGAGACAGGGCATTAGTCGTCCGTGCCAGCGCGGCTTCTGCTTCCAGGGGCTGCCCGTCCTGTACGTCGGTATGGCTGAGTCCTTGCATATTGGCATGCCATTGCCGCCAGAATCCCCGCATCTGCAGCTCATCATCCGTCGTCAGTGGGTTTGGCCTGAGCATACCCCTTGAGATGTCGGACCACTGCGTCTCGGTGGCCGGAAGCCGGCCTGACACGATTCCAGGGCTTCTACATCATCCGGCGTCGCAAAGCCGCCCGGACCCAGGAAGGTCAGGAAGCTGTCCAATCTAGTGGACAGCATGGCATCTGATTCCTCCCTTGGGACAAGGTGCCAGGCCGTTACCTCCATTGTGGGTCGGGGGCCAGGGGTTCGAAGTACCTGATGGTGATGGCCATGATGTCGTTGATGACCAAATTGGGATAGATGATCAGGTTTCGGGAAGTATCAGCCATCCGGTAGGTGCGCTCTTCTCCGTATTTCTCCACCAGCCGCTGCCGGACTCGCGCAATCGGCTCCCTGGCATCCTCGCCGTACAGCGGGTGCCAATGCGCGATGGGGCGGCCGTTCCGGACCGCGGATTCAATCACGCAATGGCCGTTACCCAGGGCAGTGGCCCGGCCCGAGACGCGGGACGCCATCGTTTCCCCGCTGTCGTCAGTTCCCAGGCCGGTGATGTAGTCCAGATAAGTCTGGTGAGTCGGGATCAGGTGATAACCATCAAGGCTGTTTTCAACCAGCAACTTCCAGTTGGCCTTCATAGTGTACTTATTGGAACCAGCGACCACCCGCATCCCCTCCTCGGCCTGGTCGACGATCAGGTCAAGGTAGTCCCTGGCCCCCGCCAAATAAGTGACCAGGTCTTCGACAAAGGGGTTGAAACTAACGAAGATGAAGCCGCGGTAGCTTTCGACCCGTGGTGGCTCCTTCAGGCCCAGCTCGCTCCGGTCGAAGTAAGGGCTGTATGCGTCCTCGCCGGGGACGCCGATCAGCTCTCCGTTTGTGTTGAATGACCAAGCGTGATAGAAGCATTGCAGGACTTCGGCGGTCCCCTGATCACGGCGGCAGATCAAAGCCCCCCGGTGGGTACATGAATTGAGAAACACCCGAACTTCACCATCTTTACCACGGGCAAAGAAAAGGGGCCGTCCAGCTATCGTGCGGCGCCGGTAGTCTCCGGGCCTCTCCACTTCCGACTCGTGTCCCAGGTAAATCCAGCACCGGTCGAAGATTTGTTCCCGCTCCCGCTGGAACAAATCGATGGAGGTCATTGACGACCGGTTGACCCTGAAAATTCCCCTCTGCCGGTCGTCGATAATTAGGTCTTTGATCTCCATATTTACACCCGTATCCCCCAGCGTCGATTTGAAGCTGCCGCCAGCCCTAGCCTAGAGTCCTTATCCGGGGCTGTCAACAAGCAGTTCAGGTCTATATCCGCGTGTCAACGCCGACAGAATTTTGGCCCACCTTCGCTGCCATTCTGCAAGGCGGGCACTCGTCAAACGCCACTGGAGGCCCAGGCATCAGCCACGTATTTGGCCAGGCGGCGCTGGGACACGCAGACCTCTCCTGTCTGTCCTTGCGGCATATGAGGGCGACGCCTAAAATTGGGCCATTCCCGATTGCCCGCGGACGTCGAACCCGATTGCCGGGGGCGTCGAACATTCCCGATTGCCCGCAGGCGTCGAACCCGATTGCCCGCAGGCGTCAAAAAGAGGAAGTGGAAAATGCTGGTCGATCTCATCAGCGTGGTGAACCAGGAGGGCATGTTGCTGGACGGTGCGTTCTACGCTCCCGCCGCCGGCGCCCAGAATCCCGGCCCGGTGGATGCAATGCTTCTGATTCACGGGTCGCGGGGCAATTTCTGCGATCCCGCCACCAAGTCGATGGCCGAAGATCTGAGCGCTCAGGGCATAGCCTGCCTGGCCCTGAACACCAACGCCCACGACACCATCTGGTACAACCCGCCAGGCCAGGACTACAAGGGCAATGCTTTCGAGATACTGGAAAACACCATGAGCGACCTGCGGGCCGGCATAGGACACCTCGAGCAACGCGGTTATCGCGCTGTCGGCCTTCTGGGCCACAGCATGGGAGCGGTGCGCGTCACCTATTACGCCGCCACGCAGGACGACCCTAAGGTCGCCGCCATTGTGCCTGTTTCACCCGTGCGCTTGTCCTACTCCCACTATCTGGAGTCCGAAGACGCAGACGAATTCCAGGCCAACCTTGAGACAGCGCAGCGCCTTATGGACGCAGGGGACCCCGACGGCGTTTTCCGGGTCAATTTCCCGATCCCCCAGTTCTTCAGCGCGGCGTCATACCTCGACAAGCACGGCCCCTTCGAGAAATACAACCTGATCAACTTGGCCGACCGGATACGGGTGCCCATCCTCGCGCTCAACGGCTCCAGGGAGACCCACACCCGGCTGAAGGGATGGCCCAGGACCTTGCCCGTGCCGCCGTGAACAGCCCCGCGGCCAGCGCGATAATGGTGGAGGAAGGGGAGCATTCCCTGGTGAACCGCACGGCCGAATCCTCCGGGGCAGTCCTGCAATGGCTGGCCGCGCTCGCGCTGCAGAAGTCTCGGTCTTAGCCCGATC